GTGTGTATAATTCTTCACAGCGTTTTCTATCAATAAATTCCATCACATCATTGGTTCCAGTCAGTGGCCCTTTCTTTTCTGAGGTGAAAATCCATTTTTCACGTATACCATTGTCTGAAAGCTCTAGTTCAGCCTCTCGGGACCAAAAACATTTTGCAATTACTTTGGCAGACATCTCACCAGGCAGAACTACTATAAATTTATGTGAACAAATTGTTACAACATAACAAAATAATATGCCATTAGTGTACCATATTGTGCATCTCATTTTATCAACTTTATGCAGCTATTAATTATAAAATAATATGTTACATTATATGTTATTTTAAGTTGTAATTTGTAGCTGTGAAGTGCTGCAAGTTGCAATTTTACATACAACTTGCAGCACTCTACTTTTGACAAAAATTTATTTACTTTTAAGGCCACACTTTTTCAATGTTTTGTAAACTTTCTGGTTAAAAATATTAAGCTTATTACCTTATAAATCTTAAGCAAGACAAACTGGATATTGTATTTTTCAAATTGTAAAAATATGAACTTTGATGGGTTTGTAGCAAGTTAGTTAAATTGTTGTGGACCTACATTGCAATGTCAATTTTGATACCAATTTAAATTTGATTATTTTACCATAATTTATGTCATCATTGTCAGTATCCATTGAAGAAGTACATGCAGTTGTGGTCTCTTGACTATTGCCTTCAGTATTTGTTGATGGGTATTCACCTATCAATTGTGTGATTTTAAAACATTAATATTTACTAAATTTATTAAATTTTACTATAACTAATTAGAATCACACAAAAAGCACACATACTGTTTATAACACAAACATTAATCGAACCTTTGAAGGAGTTTGCAAATTTTTGAATTTGATTATCATAAATCTCGTTGTAAGCCTCTGAGAACCCACTAAATGAGACCCAACAATGATTGCTAGAAAATATCAAGAAGAAAATCAAACAATAAATGGCTAAACATGGTTTCCACCCGCCGGTTCCGTGCCTGAATCTGCCGCTGAAAAAGGCCCATTTCTTATCAAAAGATAATAGATACATATACACTTACCTAAGAGACGGCATCCACTTGTATAAATCACGAAGGAAATACGTCACGTTGCTCGCTTCGATCACTTCGATTTCATATTTTGAAGGATAAAATCGTGCACCACATTGATCCTTAAAATGACAAATGCCAAAACGGATAGCGCAATCTCTGCATTCCAACGTAACCTTCAGACAAGCAATGGGGCCACTCAACGTGAATAATGTTGCTCTTGATGCATTGTTCCTCATTGATAATTTCTTCTCACACTGCGTGCATTCTGATACCGGCGGCGAAAGAAATCTGGCGCATTGTATGTCTTTGTTTGTTTGTTCAAAAGACATGAAGGATGGGCAAGAATTTTCAAGAATCTTGGTATATAAGGTAACATCTGCAGTGGACATTTTGTTGTGGATTGTCGATGAAGAAAGACTCTTGAAAACATCCAGAATAAACACGGAGCGCAATGGAACGTTATCAATGACCCGTGTTAGATTGCGCGGTACATGCTGAATTGCCTTCCTCAGATTATATAAGCCTTGTATGGTAAGTTTGCATGCCATAATGTGCAAGACTTCATCTTCCCCGAGATTTGACAAAGTTTCGCATTCCAAATTAAAAGTGACAAGTCCTTCAATAAAACCGCGAACACTATGAGTAAATTTCCTTTGAGACTCTAGACTTACTCTGATGTTATCTGGATCGAATAGCGCTGTTCTTTTTTTCTTTGGTTGCTTGTGCGCCATTTACAATTTCACTGTGCAATTTCAAATAAAGCACAAGAACAGAAAATCAGATTTCTTCGAAAGCATTTGCAGCACGATGCAATACGGCAATAGACACTATGAAAATAGACACTATGAATAGACACATGCAATCTCGAATTTTGATTGGCTAAAACTACAGTAACAGGAAATTTTACCCATAACAACAGCAGTGCCCACATAGCGTATTCACGGCCGAGTCTATCGTCTAGCCTCAGGCTATGTTTACATTGTATCGGATCACTTTGCGTCCGACGCAAAAACCATCATAGCGTATTCATGGCCGAGTCTATCGTCTAAGTGTGTAGGCAGAATTGTTTATCGTCAGACATAAGACAGTAAGCGACGCGAAGGCTCTTAGCGGCTAGCTAGCATGCCATAGAGGCTCTTTATAAATAGCATGGCATGGCGCATAGGATTTTTATTGCTGAACCATTTTTACATAGCAGCTAGCGTATAGACCAACGGATTTTAAAGGCCTATAATCTTCTAGCAACATATAACACGACTATATTTGTTTAATACTATGAAGTTTAGCATAGCGCATAGGATTTTTATCGCTTAATTCCATTTTTACATAGGCATAGTAGCTAACTTAGAATTTGTATCGCTGAATTCCATTTTTACATGCATCAGTCTTCCGAGTTCCGACTGGCGAAAACCAAGACCAACGAATTTTCCAGTAAAGCCCTATAATCTTCTACTAAAATAGCACAACTCGAGCGCTATATGATTTTTGTATGTCACTAAGCTTATGGGAGGCGGTTGGCACGAGTGGGCCCGAGTGCTATATGACTTTTGTATTCACTAAGCTTATGGGAGGCGGTTGGCACGATGGCATGAGTGCTATATGATTTTTGTCAGAATCCATGGCTTATTTTAGGCATCATTTGCATGGATGAGGCGAAGAGATCGGTCAGGCCACGTATCTGTACTATTTAATAAATTATTATATTATTTCTTTTATTTTTTACTGTTATTAACAGTATATCACTGTTATCAGTGAAAGCAATGGTGCATTATTTTCGCCCTCTGATCAGTGACAGCCAATGGTTGACCAAAAAGAGCATTTAAGAAAAGGATATGTAGTATCCTTTTGCACATTTTAGAGAATGAAAACATTTATCCGGACACAGAGTCGCTCAGCTGTAAAATTACGAAAAGATAACGCAATGAAGCCTCAAATTGAAGCGTTAACTCCTACTTTTTTCCCTGTTCTTGATATACGGTATAGTATTTTTTTTCCTTTCTAAAAACGTTAAGTTTATTAATATGTAATTTCATTGAAAATTATTTCATATTATGTATATATACTTTGCTATATAATTAATGGCTTTGTAAATTAATATTTATTTACTTTTTGTGTGTCACTATAGACAAGTCCGCCTCGACTAGCTTTGTAGCTATTAGCGGCCTTGTCTTATTAATGTTTGTACCAAGGCCAGCTGCGAAAAATACAACTATATTGGTCTATGGCTATAAATTCTGTTTTTTTACAGGTCTGAATAACACTCAGAATTTCCAACTGTTACAGTATTCTTCAACATTCATGGTTATGGTAACAATGTGAATTGCCTACACAAACAGTCATATCCAGTTCTAACTTCAATTTATTTAATATAAAACAGTATGAACCAGCAATTAGTGACAGCGGTATCTTCACGGAGGAGATACCAAAGTATGAAAACACATTCACAATGACGGCCAGGCATCTCCTTTTTGAAGGCATGATTTTTGTGCCAACAAAACCTGTGGAGGTAGGTGTGGTTGGGTTGATGGTGATTACAGTGTTGGTGGTAGTAATAATGGTAGATCACTCTCTTTTGAATACTTCAAGTTATTTTTAAATAAAATACAGGAATAAAAATATTTCACTGATATGGGTTTTCCTATGGAAATGTTTTTGAATATTGTTATTGACAATAACTTATGTTGTACAATTTGTAAGTGCAAATCATATTTTATTGATACGATGCACTTTGCATTATAATTTTATTTCCTTTCATAGTTTAATTTACACGTATGGTTAATTGCTTTTAGCCAAGACATTCTAGAGGAACCACGATTGTGTCGCGAAGGACATGCCTTTTGTAAAAGTTCGAAACCTACTTAGTTGAGCATCACAACAGATGTTTTCCTAGTGATCGGAGTCCACTGCTGCCTGCAGATCTAAGGCGAATCCTGAATCTTCAAGGATATTTGGAGAATCAAGAAGTTAGGTGACCAGAGAGGAATGAAGATAATGATGATACCTGTGCTTTTGGGAGGGACAGCTTTCAGCAGTAAGACAGCGTCAACAAGAGTGCTTGTATGTTGAAGTTGGCTGTTGCTACACTAGCTGTGGGCACCGATGCCATAGACAACTCGATGCAGGTCACGAAACCGACTGTGACTATGCCGATGCAATTTGTCATCAATGTGGGCAGAATGGACTTTAAAGAATGGATGTGCACATCTCCTCCTGTGCTAGAACAAATATATATTGTCGCCTATCATGTCATTCTAGTATACCAAGGCAAAAATAATATGTTGTCGTAAAGATCAGGGGTACAGTGTAGGTAGACAGTTACAATATAAAGTTAGAGAAAGTTTCGAGCCAATAGCCTGAAATATATATCAATATGAAAAAGAGGTAGAAAACTTTTAATTCAGTGTGATTTATGCATTGACAAAGTTTGAGTGAATTTTCGTTTTAGAGAGTTTCTAACATATCATGTATTGGGGGCAGTGTTCAAACGGTATGGTGCCATGTCAAATTCCTGGACATGGATGAGGCGAACAGATCGGTCCGGCCACCTATCTGTACTATTTAATAAATTATTATATTATTTCATTTTTTAATTTTTTACTGTTATTAACAGTATATCACTGTTATCAGTGAAAGCAATGGTGCATTATTTTCGCCCTCTGATCATTGACAGTCAACAGTTGACCGTCATCAGCCACACAACAGTTTTTAGTAAAGGGCATCATTATGGTAATTTTGGGCATCTCACATGCTAGAACTGATGTTAAAGGAAATGAAAATTTCGAGTCTAATTTTTATACATTTACTTAGACCTAACCAAGGGCAGCTGCAAAAAATAGAACTATATAGGTCTCTGGCTATAAATTCCTGGACTTTCAGTACATTTTTTGCAGCCGCTTCTTTTTTATAGGTCTAAATAACACTCGGAATTTCCACCTGTTACAGTATTATTCAACATTGATGGTTATGGTAACAATGTGAATTGCCTACACAAACAGTCGTATCCAGTTGTAACTTCAATTTATTTAATTTTAAATAGTATGAACCAGCAATTAAGTGACAGCAATAATATCTTCATGGAGGAGATACCACAGTATGAAGGCACCTTCACAATGATGGCCAGGCATGTCCTTTTCAAAGGCATGGTTTTCGTGCCAACAAAACCTGTGGAGGTAGGTGTGGTTGGGTTAATGGTGATTACAGTGTTGGTGGTAGTAATAATGGTAGATCACTCTCTTTTCAATACTTCAAGTTATTTTTAAATAAAATACAAGAATAAAAATATTTCACTGATATGGGTTTTCCAAGGGAAATATTTTTGAATATTGTTATTGACAATAACTTATGTTGTACAATTTGGTAAGTGCAAATCATATTTTAGTGATAGCATGCACTTTGCATTATAATTTTATTTCCTTTGATGGTTTAATTTACACATATGGTTAATTGCTTTTAGCCAAGACGTTCTAGAGGAACCACAATTGTGTTGCGAAGGGACATGCCTTTTGTAAAAGTTCGAAACCTACTTAGTTGAGCATCACAACAGATGTTGTCCTAGTGATCAGACTCGACTGCAGTCAACATCTTTCTTCCGAAACGCACAGCAACGCTGTATGTCACATGAACTTGCCCAATGAAGGCAGATCCTAGCAGATGAATGTTGCCAAGAACCAACTGCATGCTGCTATTGCTTATTGTCAATACTAAGTCAGCTGCAATACAGTGCAGTACAGTGCAATTTTGGTCACTCACGGAAAATGTTTGCGGAAATGATTAAAGTGGCATGCGCCTAAATTGACAAGAAGAATGCTGACTTCCTCTCTGTTCCCATTCCAAACACGGGAATGCTACTGCACTTTTATGTAACCACCGACATTGCATTACCAAACAGGTCACCGTTATCTGCCTTGTTGTAGATGGTAGAGAAGGAATAATCTTAGATGCCAGGGAGGCATACACCAATTCTGGTGGTACAAGAGGTGCTTTAGCGACTGCAATATACAAAAATCTGAAGGAGCACGTCGACTTAAAAGACAAGCATCTTCTGCAAGCACAGGAAAGAGTGTTGGATGGCCAGTACCTAAACGAGTCATTCATTGCTGGCATGAACAAGCCTATCATGCAACTATTTGAGAATAGCCAAATAGACTTGGGCAGTTTTGATTAACCGATTAAACCGGTTTTTGTGACGTTTTCATTTTCTTTCTGTTTTTTTTTTTTTTAATTCTAACATAACCACGGTCTTGGTATGATTTCACAAGACCTAACTCACTCTCAAATCCAGAGGAAATGCACAATAATGCTACAAACATATGAACCATTACGTGATACATATAAGGTGACTAGCCGATTTGCCTGCTTATGTTTTTAAGAGGTTAATACTTTGTCCACAAGGGGGGGGGGTTCTACACAGCTTTTCTTGCCAAAATTATTATTTGTGCTTTTCATGGAAAAATACAAAACGCGATTTTTTGGAAATGAAAACCGGTTTTAAAAATAAAACCCGAAAAACCGGTTAACTCACTGGCTGGACAAAGTTTTCAGCAAATACAAAGATTTCACTTTCGTCGATTGTGTCTGCTGAAGAGAGTGGCACTTCACCACCAGCTATTTCGATTTGGTAAGATGCACAGCATAGCATGCCACACAGTGAAGGAACTGAACCAATGCATATGCACATCTGCAGTTCATGACCTCCAGCTACTTGTCGTTGAGGAACCTGGCAGACAAGTTTGGAAGTTTACATCGAGACGTTCAAAGACCAAGACAATTGCGAGAAGCTTGGCAAGATTTTGTCCATGACTTGCTGGATGTCTTCAATTTGTTGTAGCCCTTGGTTGCCCTCATGTTGCAGGCACAGGCTCAATGGTACCCTGGTTGGAATTTATGCTCACATATTCGTTTGGTCAAAATGCAAATTGAGCATTTTCTTACCGAAATAACTAAGGACGAAGCAGTGGTGACACAAGCCAATGGTGATACAGATGATGAAGACGAAGAAGTCTAATTGGAATTGTTGGATGACTTGGAGAAACCCGATGTCTATGTTTGTCTGGGACTAAATAAGCGAATCGACAGCATTCAACGAATGCACTGTGGGCAAAGTCAACTGAAGCCAGGGTGGCTCATTGTTGATGATGGGGCAGATGATGAAACGCCAGTTAATTGGACTGCACTGGAGCTAAAAGACAGCACACGGCTGATTTGAAAAAGCTGGCAAGAAATGTGATAGAGAAGTTGGAAGATCGTTATGAAAATTGCTTCTCTTATCTAAACCGATTGCTTTCCAAATGCTTTGACTTTGCCGAACTATTTGTTGGATTATGCGGAAAACGATCCGACAGAACCCCAGTAGACAACAGGAGGTTTTCTGAGCTTGGAGTAGATGAGTTTCAACGATGTGTCGTTTATGTCTCACAGATTCTAAACATTTGCGACAAGAATTTGGAGATAGGCAGTGTGCAGCCATGTTTTGGCATCTGAAGAAAGTGCTCATTTCCATTGTCTGGGGTGATATGTTTCCCTTGCACTTCTTCCAGTTCTTCAAAAAGATCATCATTAAAAATAACGGAGAATTCTCTTTGAAAGATCTAGTCACCCCGGAAGGTCTAATTGTGACAAAGTTCCTGGAGGGCATGTGACAGAGATTTACCATTTTCGATGTGGGGCTAAGCAATGGTGTGGAAATGAATGTCCTTTTCCCTTGTTAGGTGTAATTATCCTAATATATTTTACTCCATTTAAATTATTCGTAGTTAGGACTTACAGACGAAGAGCCATTTTGTGGAAATTCTGTAATAAATCATTGTCATTATTATCTAATAATTGCACCTCTTGTTTTCAAAAAAAACCAGTTCTCATGTATGCCAAACCTAACACCCTGGTGGCATGCAGAATATACAAACTTTCTACCATTAAGGTCCTTGGGTGAGATATATATATATAGCCCTAAAATAATAAGGACCGATATATATAATTATATAGACCAATTTCATTTCTGTTTGTTTAATTGAAGGGCAACTTCAAACAACACTGACAAGACAGTATTCTGTGAGTGTTATTCACACCTACATGAACTTAGAGCTCTTGTGCCTTCGGCAAATATGTTGGTTAACACTGCAACAACTAAGAGATACAATAAGTACAAGCTCGCCCGGTGTGGATATGCACTCAGAGTAACATCGCAAACATATTATTCACCTGAGTACACAACACCAACACAGAAAATTCATATTACTAGAACACATTGGTATTGAAGGAACTAGATACTGTTCCGAAATATCACTTACTCGAACCCTCCTGACCGCGTAGCTCAGTTGGAAGAGCATTGGGCTAGTATTCCAAAGGTCGTAGGTTCGAATCCCACCGTGGCCGGGCATATTTTTCAAGCTCGCCCGGTGTGGATATGCACTCAGAGTAACATCGCAAACATAATAAGTACACTGTTGGAAGTTTTGTTACTTAAAGTGCTACTGCAGCAAATTTTTCGACCCTCAATTTTTTAGCTTAAGGTTACAGGACACTCTTTTTGGGGTTTTGCGGAAAATCGCTACTGCACGTTCAAAATCAGTACATTATTACAACAGAATTTTTTTTATTATTATTATTATTAAATTGAAACCACATTGCAGCCAGAAGCTGAATTGCGTGGATTACATATTATCACATGCACTACATATAAATATATTATTAATACAATATTATAAAACCCACCCTCAATCAAAATTTGATTAAAATAAGCATAAAATCTATCCTACAAACTTCCTACACATAGCAGGGATGAAAGAGTTATAAAAGCGGTTCGTGCGTGTAACGTACATATTAAAATACCGATTCGTCCTGAAAGAATAATCAGTCTCGTTCTTCGGGGGCAGCAGATGATGAAGTTTATGCATTGGATCCTTGATGATACTCGTAAAGAGTTTGTCACACATGTCCTCTCTTCTTTGAAATAGAGTAGGCAGTCTATAATACTCAAGGGCCTCACAATATGTCATTTCAGGAGATAAAATTTTTAGCACACGTTTCTGGACAGTCTCAAGTTCGTCTGCCAAATACTTTGGGATGGAATGATGCACAATACTCGAGCACAGGCCTGATCACTGTACAATAAAAGTTCAAAACATCATTGACATTTACGCCTGCCCGTTTCAATAATACTATAAAATAGAGGCGTTTATTAGCTTTCTTTATACTCTCTCTGATGTTATCTTTCCACTGAAGCGTGCCTGTCATAACAAGACCCAATATTTTTGCACTCTCAACTATAGGCAATGCTTCTCCACCCACCAGTACAGGATCAAAAGGTTGTTTAATTTTTTTAAAATCGATTCTCAGTTCTTTACATTTCTCAGCGTTAAGAGATAGCCCATTTGCCTTCGACCAATCTTCCACAACATCAACTGCGACTTGAACACGGCTCTCTGTGTCCTTACTAACTACTTCAGCAACTGTTGTGTCATCAACAAACTTCCACCTCGATATATCACAAATATCAAGATCGTTTATCATTAAACAAAATAGCCAGGGCCCTAATTTTGTACCTTGAGGGATACCGGAAAGTACATCACCCCACTCCGAATAGCAGTCATTGGATAATTTCACTCTCTGCTTTCGATTCATCAAAAAATCGATTGTCCAGCGAGCAACCGCACGTGGAATAGCTAAATTGGAAATTTTATCAGCCAGTAAAGCATGATCGATAAGGTCGAATGCTTTTCTATAATCGAACAGGATGACTTTGACAGCAGAGCCAGTGCCATCAGTAGCTTGCGACCATTCATGGATCATAGATATAACAGCGAGAGTAGTTGAACTTCTTGGTATTACTCCATATTGACTTGGCTCGATTATACTCATGATAGCTGGAGCAATGTATTTTTTAACAACACAGTCCTCAGCGATTTTCGAAATAGCG